TATTTCATTACGTATGTTAAATAGGGAAATTTTATAATTAAACGTATAATATTCTTACGCAGTAATTAAACTCTAAACCAAGCATGCGTGACGGCGTCGCTACGAGTAATGTTCCTCTAGAATTTGAATAAACCACACATATTAATTAGTTTCGTATATGCGTTAAGCTTTGGTTGAAAATTCTTGGCGGTTTATGAGATATTGATTATTTGAAAATATTCTACAATCCACACTCAGGTGATAGGATGGCGATTAAATTTTCGGGCCGGAAAAAGCTTAATAAAAATTACATGTGCGTCTAGCACAAGTAACTTATGATAATGTAGAGACGGGAGATAATATGATAATAAATTAAATGCTTCATTTTTAATTTGCAATTTAAAAAAAAAGTTCGCCTGAGAAGAAAACTAAATACCAAGATTTTAGCTGAATAAATTTGATTTAGCTATTCATGGTCGTGCATTTTTCAAGGGAGTCTGGATAACTAATTACGAAAGCAAAGCTATGTATAAAATTAATAAATTAGTTATAGTTAAATAAAAACAAAGAGACTGGGACTATGTAACTACGTAGTTGTAAGCCACAAGTATTAGAATTTTTATTAGTATTTTTGAAGCTATAAAAATCCTACTTATTGTACGCTAAAAGTTCGCAATGTATGTGGACGTGTTATGGCTTTCAAATCTAAGTATAGGTCTAGCATAATACTCAAGAGATATATACACATCCTTACCCCCCTATTACACATATATGCAACCTGTCTTTGTCTACGGGAATCTTTCCCTCAGCATTCAAAACAGCACTCATCAAACCCATTCACAAAAGTGGTGAGAGGGACTGTGTCAATAACTACAGGCCAATCTCCATCTTACCCACACTGTCCAAAATCTTGGAGCGCCTAATAAATAAGCGCTTAATCAATTTCCTGGAGGGAAATAATCTCCCTTTCACCAGCGCAATTCGGATTTCGGCAAGGCAAGTCAACAAATAATGCGGTACATGAGCTTGTTAACTCAGTCATAACCAACTTGGATGAAAGAAGAAAATGCTTAACAATATTTCTCGATCTAGCGAAAGCATTTGACACAGTCCCAATCCCACACCTCATAACCAAGCTGGAAAAAATCGGTGTGAGAGGCTTACCTCTGCAGTTAATATCAAACTTTCTGAGTGGAAGAAAGCAGAGAGTTGGAATAGAGAATGCGATAAGTGAAGAGTTAATTGTCAAATTTGGTCTGCCCCAAGGTAGCATACTCAGCCCAACGCTGTTCTTGATATATGTCAACGATTTATGCCAGCTTCAGCTACACAATGGAAAAATATTCTCATTTGCCGACGATACTGCACTATTCTTCAGTGGTAATAGTTGGAGGGAGGTTTTTGATTTTGCACAAAGAGGTTTTACTAAGTGCTGCCTCTGGTTACAAAAGAATGTGTTGACACTAAACACTGATAAAACAAAATACATAACCTTCACACTTAGGTCGAACCAAAGTCCCCCCTCACTCCCTCTCCATCACAGCCCATGTTTGCAACTCTGAGCCAACTATTTGCAATTGTCCCGCTATTCAAAAAACAGACAAAATCAAATACCTCGGAATTATAATAGACCAAACTCTGACTTTCAAGCCACATATTGAGATACTTGTCACTAGGTTACGCAAGCTCATTTACATCTTCAAATCTCTTAAACACGTAGCAGACTGCCGAATCATCAAGACGGTCTACCACGCTCTATGCCAATCACTTGTAGATTACTGCATCAGCTCATGGGGTGGTGCAGCTAAAACCCACCTAATTGAGGTTGAAAGAGCCCAACGGGCCATCCTAAAAGTCAGTGCAGGTCTCCCGTTCTGCTTTCCTACAGTGGAACTCTACAGAAAGTGGGACGTTCTAACAGTGAGACAGTCTTTCATCGTACAAACTGTCCTAATGAAACACTCTCAATGTAAATACGATCCGGAGCTCCTAAAAGACAAACGCAGAAAAGGTTCTGTCTGTCGAACCCAATCCTTCCATTCGGCCACCTCACACAATTTCTTCTATTTCCTAGGACCATACATGTATAATAAACTGAACAATATCCTAAACTTCTATCCCTTACCTAAATCGAGCTGCAAATCCGTTCTTACAAAATATCTGAAAACTTTAGACTATGAAGCGACAGAAAACCTACTAAAGTCGCCCATATAATTATATTAATGTAGTCGAAGTCTTCACACTTTCTTCTCCTTATTTGGGTTTAAATGCAATTATACGAGTATGTTAGTCCTAACTCACGCAATAGCAGGTACGTCCACAATCACACTAACTCTCTCAAATCTCACACACACTAACTCACACACACATTCCCACACACAAACACACACACACACACACACACATACACACACACACACACACACACACACACACACACACACCCACACACACATGCACACACAAAAGGCACGCGCCTGCACGAGCTCACACGCACAACTACACTTTCATAGTACACACTTATTGATGTAAAATTTGTAATTATTGCAGTTCATTTTAGTTACTTAATTATATTCTCCTTTCTGATTGTATTCCTCAGATTGTTGCTTTATACGCGGGGGAGCCCTGGTGACCTGTAATACAGGTTTTTTAAACCTACATCAGGCACCAGTCTCTCACAAGTTAGGTACCAGTCTGGCACTTTTGTAAACACTTAGCATTAAGAATACCTATTGTGAAGAGAGAATAAATGCATTCATTCATTCATTCATTCATAGGTACATAGTTTAATAACACTATCGATATATTAATGTCGCCCACCAAAAAACTTAAATTTATTTTTAAACAATTTAACTGTGTTAAAGGAATGTACAACAATTTGCCTAAATAATAGGTTCCATTAAATGTGTTACACTTAATTTTTATTTTACCTATAATGTTCAGATCGTCTCAAGTTGCAGCTACCGAATATATATCTTATTTTTGTGAATGATGAAATAGTTTGAAATTTAAAAGGAAGTCACAATTTTTTTACGTGGTAGAGCCATGCTGCAGTTATATTAGTAGTATAGTTGTAGCACAAATGGGTCGGCTCGACCGGGGAAGGACCACGCTCTCACAGAATACCAGCGTGAAATAGTAGCTTAATGCTGCTGTATTTCGTATGGTGAGTGTAGAGAACCGGAGACCCTTTTTACTGGAAACGAGGTATTCCATCTCAGTCCTCACGGGTGACAACGCATCTGCATTTTGATTTTTAATGGAGGATAGATGTAGATGTCTATGGGCAGCAGCAACCACTTACCATCAGGTGGACTGTGTGCTCGTTTGTCACCCTATTCTATAAAAAAAAAACAATTTTGTGATTTAATTTAAATCTTAAAATATATTGCTATATACTTATATTTTTAGTAGCAAGAAATTACGGTTTAAAATTAAATAATAATATTTTCAATTCGTGGTCCGAGTTAATAACTAAGCGAATTTACTTGAAAACATAATGTGAATCAGTTAATACTTAGTACTCGTATGCGTGTCAATGGAATATTAAACATTATTGCATTATTTTGAGACTGAATAATTGCTCGTGCCTCGAAATATCAAACCAATACCAACATGCATTTCTTGCACTGCTAGCTGTATATTTATAGAAAAATGTAACCTACATTTGTGAACATAATAACAATGCAGTCTGTTAAACTTCACGGTTTTCAAGTAAATTCCAGTCATTAATGCAAGAATTCCGTGCCAATAGCTTACTCGTTAGGGGCACTTTGACTTGTCGACCTAACCTTAATCTCATTTCTGACCTGGATAATAATTCAGCGGCCGAAAAGAAATGTGTGTTTCCGCAAAACAGTCATTCGGTTCTAATTGTTTTCTAAATTCTTCGCAAAACAGCAAGCTTGACCTTAGGCACCTAGGTTGTGCCGACTTTTATACAGAGTTACAGGTTAAGTCGACCTAGATCCTTTAGGGAGTTGTAGTTTCCATCATTACCGACTGTTTCGACTATGAAATACCATAACCGTTTTCAATATATTGGATATTTAACTTTTTTTATAAAAATTGATAATTTTTTGTTTATTGTACTTATTTTTATATAATTTGTGCGTCTTGTTTTATATTTTTTATAACTTTTGTATAGTAGATAAGTTGCTTTATTATTTTAAACACCAAGATCTTAGTTAAATAAACAATCTGGATCGTAGTAGGCAATTGATAGTTGAAAAATAAATAAATTTGTACAAAGTATTTTTTTAATTGAGGAATATTGTAAATAAGTCTATGGCGGGTATGTTGCAAATTTATTTAAAGATATCTACCCTTTTTCGACTATCCAACATGCTATAAAAGTCTTTCCTAGAAAATCCTTAGGATGAAAGGCTCACACGTAGTAGTAAAAATTACGGTTCTGGGTGTTCAACAAGCCATTTCAGTGTTTTTGTGTTTAGTTTATTACTCTTGTACTTACGCGATTCGTACGTGGTAGATGCGAAAGCTTTCTATTTCCTACTCGGCTTGGCTTGTATTTCTGGACTGTTTTTCTTTCGATTCTTGACTGTGCTCGCTAAATGAACTTTGATATTTTACCGGCTTTTGATATTTAACCGTTGAAGATGACAACCTTTACGAACTGTCATTTTATAGTAGATTCTCTAACGCGCCACCACACTACCTACTAACTTGATTTAAAATTAAAATATTGACTTATATACGAAAATAATGTATTAAAGTCAATTAAGTATATATAAAAACTCCCTTTAGAGTCTAATAACGTTAAGATGAAAAATAAATGCATTAAATTAGTATAAATTTTCTACAAATCTACCTACAACACTAAAGATCCATGTCCAGTAACTTTCACGCACTTTTGAAGAAAAAGAGAAGTATGATTCTTGTACTACATTATAATATGAAACCATTCAAAAATATTGATTTAATTAGGATGCAATCACTACATACTTACCCAAAAACTTGATTTTAGAAACAAAATTTAACATATATTTTACTTTTTACAGATTTCAAAGTGGAGGGCTATCCGACAATGGTCTGGTTTCATGGCGGCGATTTTGTCCGAGGGAGCCCGAATGCAATTAATCCGTTTCAACTTGTGCTAAAACAAAAGGTATACAACAAATAGGTGTTCTATTTTAAGTAGAAATATGGTCATAATCAAATGTCTTTTATAGTATTCGATCAGATCGCGTCCAATTACCGTATTTTAAGCAGTAAAATAAGGGATAACATCATGTAAATGCCACCGATATGTATTGAAACAGCGTAGCAGTTATTTAGATGCACCAATCCTCTCAGCAGTGAGAGATAGCCTATGACCACCTGTGGAAGGTATATAGGCTGTTAATTTTATATAAATGAATCATTTTTCTCGATTTGAGGATAGGGGACTCTTCCCCGCTGCAGCTTTTAAAGTTCATACATCGTTTCTTCTCTTCGGGTTTTTCTGTTTAGAAACTCACAGTAGCAATGCAGACTAAGGAAGTTCGTGGTGTTTTACCTCGTGCCTCGAAAAGCACGTAAAGCCGCCAGTAGTACTCCGCCAGATCTCCCTCTGGTCTTGTTAGATAACCGTCTTATCGAACTATGTGAGTGAGGGAATAGAAAGTGCAGCTGTGTTTGCGCATACTCTCGAGCACTATAATCCTGTCCAGCTTAGATACTCATAACTAGTCTCTGCTGGAATTTTCTGCCAGAAAATTCGGCTCGGACGATATTATTGTAATATTTATCTACAGGTTATTTCAATTTGATTGCAACTAGTAAGTTCGCTAGGCATTTAGTAAGAGTGAAATATATATTTTTTTACTAAAAATAATATTGTTCTATGTTGATAAAGAAATGTGGCAAATTAACTAATTCTTTTTAATTTAATCTTTATATATCATATATTTGGAATATTATACCATGATTAATAAAATAAGTTCAAAACTTTCCTTTAGTTCAAGTAATGTTATGAGTCAAATTAAAATCAATATTTGGTTTTCAGGTAATTTTTATTTCAGTGGCCTATCGTCTAAACATTTTTGGATTTTTTTCGACGTTAGATAAGGAAGCACCAGGAAATTTTGGTTTAATGGACCAAGTAGCAGCGTTGCAGTGGGTTAAAAACAATATTGAAAGTTTTGGTGGAGATCCGGAAAATGTCTGTATTTTTGGTCATGATGCTGGTGCTGTAAGTGTGGGCTTACACTTATTATCGTCATATTCTTCCGGTTTATTTCAAAAAGCAATAGCCATGAGTGGCAATGTGCTATCACCGGATACGGTAAATATAGCGAGAAAAGAAATATCCACCGTTGATAAAGTTGCTAATGCTTTTAGCTGTTTTAGGAAACCTACATTTCAATTATTAGACTGTTTAAGAAGAGTCAACTATCAAGCACTTTTAGATATAGGAGAACCAATTGCAGCTTGGAAACCTATAGTTGATATAGGTTTTAGCAACATTTCTTTACCGTTTTTATCAGATTTACCAAGCCAATTGTTTAAAGATGAAATATTTACACCAGTACCAGTTTTGACAGGTTACACGAATATGGAAGATGCTTTACTATTAGAAAAAGACGGTTCCGAAGATTCCGGAGTTAGCCAGCGTGAATTTGATGTGATGAGAGAAGAAATTATTCTTTCTGATATTACAGTTGACAACAGCTCGTGTTTTACAAATCAACATCATATTCAAGATGCAGTGGCTTTTTTTTACAAACCGATTCCTCCCACATCAAACGAAACTGTACTAAGAAAACTCTTTTTGGATTTTTATACAGATAAAGTACATGGAGCTACTACATATGAATTAGCTAAATACCTTAGCAAGCACGCATCAGTATATCTCTACAGATTTGATTTGAAACCATTTTCGGATATAGCTAACGAGGGTGTTCCAGATTGGATCGCAGTTCCACATAATTTTGACTTAATTTTCACATTTGGATTACCTCACCTAGCTCTGCCCGAAGATTTATCAAAATGGGATTACAGAGATAAGAGCATATCAGATATAATAATGAAAATGTGGAGTAATTTTGCATGGTATTCGAATCCAACGAATTCCGGTGTTATTATACAATGGGATGCATTTGAAATTGAAAAACCCGGATTTTTCATCATAGACAGACAGAATTTCACAATGAGTACGCCAGATAATGTTAATTACAAGGCATTCGAATTTTGGACCGATTTCTATCCTAAAGTGGTTGAAATAGGTACGAAATGTTGCAAAGAAATAATTGACGATAATGGAACGGAATCAAACTTTAGAAGACTTTCATTACATCTTGTTTTAATACACTTCGTTTTAAGTATTTTATTTTAAGGTAAAAATAAATGAAGCAAAAACTTCTCACCTTATTTTTATAAAATGTATTAAATTTAATAGAGTAATAATTTATTTACTGAGATAATACTTATTTATTATAAAACTATTAGTGCTAATAAAAGTTCGTGGTCATAAGTCATAACTGTTGTTTCTTTGTTGAAATTCAATTAATTAATTTCTCTTGGTTTTTATTTTTCAAATAGACTCAAGCGAGATGGTAGATAAAGTTTTAAAACTAAAAAATAATTAAATACCAACTTAATTTACACAAAAAATTTGTTAAAATTAATGGCATTCGAGTCATTTTTATGACACATAATAGAACATTGTTATAGTACTATAAAACCCTTTTACTTTCAATGATACTTACAAACACTTAATTCACCGGCTTAAATAACTATTTTAGAGCGTTATTAATATCATTATTTATACAGTCCACTAGTGATCATTAAACTCACATCATAGTACAGTAGCGGGCTTTCCCAGAGTAGTGATGATATGATGTAAATGTTTTTTGTATAGCTATTGTCTCCAGACGGATGTCGTATCTTTTATGCTGTTCCCGATAGGGATTAAAACTGATGATAATCAGTTATGATATTTATATTCAGTATAAACTTGAAATACATACCGTTTTTTAAATCCCCGCTATGAAAATTAATAATTATAAAAAGTAGGAAGTTATTTTTGAGAATTTGGGTTTTCATCAAATCTCCACGTTTTGAAGTCCTAGGAAGCTGTCTGTTCTGTTCTGTCTACTTCCGGCCTTGTGTGTGTGTATCTATGTATGTAAATAAAATTTTTACGTTCAATATCTTTAGAACAAACCAACCGATCGAGATGAGCTATACGGCGTTCGGAAGTGTTCATTGAGTTGATTGAGTTCATTGACTTCTACCTGATTTGTCTTTAAAGTTCATTGGTTGAGCCGTTTTCAAGATATTCAAAAAATAAAAACCAAAAAAATATTTTTAAAGTTTTTTCTAAATAACTTTCAAACTATTTGACCAATCAACTCCGTGCATCAAAGACACTTTTTGTACTTTAAAAACTGCGTCGAATTCTCCAATTACATCAAAATCGGCGTCGCGTTCAAAAATTAAAGATATTTAAATATTTCTAACTAATCATTTTTTGATAACTTTAAAATTGGACAAATAATTTTTTGCACCTATAAAACTACGTCGAATGACGCCAAGTAAATCAAAATCGAACCAGACATTCTAAGTTATAGTCATTTAAAATTTTCTACAACTTTTGAATTTTGAGCTCCAATAGCTTAAAAACGAACCAATTGAAAGATTTGCAAGCGTTTCATGCTCGAAAAAAAGCGGTAAGTTTCAGGGTTGGCCTACTGGTCAAACACTTTTCAGACTTTTTTACTGCAGTTATTACAGAATTTCTTTATATACAAAATAGCTATCGGCAGTGACTTCTTTCGCGCAAACTTCTACGCGAACCTCCTTAACTTTTGTTTCCGGTATAACCAAAGAAACCTGATTTCTGATTTATTTCTTCATGTCATATCCTCATTTAGAAATTTCCACATTCTCAAGGTAACAAATAAATAATGTAGTTAACTTAACTTTAACTACACTATTAACTTTGCATTTTTGTTTTGGGTTTTTTGGGCACTGTCCCATGTCCCAGTCTCCCAGTCAAATCACACGACTCATATTTATGATCTTTCTGATGATGATATTTAAATGTAGAACATTATTTTGTGACAAAATACTAGTTGTTTATTCAAAAGACGTTTACTTAGTAACATCATTTTAACGTTTTCACTTGACTTGATGTTCAATATGTATATGAATATTAAACGTTGTTAACACAAATTTGTTTAAACGTCAATTTCGTAATTGTATTTAATTAATGTTTCTCAAAATATTACCTAACCTCATTACACGTAGTGCACCGTGATTTTTGATCTAAAACGCACGTTAGTGGGTAGCTAATCATATAGAACGGCATTTAGAATTCTGTTCCGATGTACGATGGTGGAATATAGCAGCCTGAATTGATCCGAATAAATCCTTGGACCACTTTGTGTCACCAAGTACTTCAAAGTGACTATAATTTTTACTGTTAATGAATTTAGCGAATAGCCCAGCTGTTATTTGTTGGTCAGTTTTTACTATATTAGTTGTTATTGTTAGAGCTATAGTGCAGCTATGTTAGGGGAACAGCGCGATTGGATCAGCTCGGCCGAGGAACGACCATGCTCTCATAGAATAGCAGCACCAAATAACAGTTTAACACTACTTTTTTCGAACGTTGAGCGTAGATAATCAGAGACCTTTTTACTAGAAGTGCGGCATTCTTCACTGCTGGCCGTATGAGGACGCTCAAGGTCGCTCAGTGAGCTATGTAGAGGGCTATGCTCGGAGTTTCTCTCCGTGATAAACTCAGAAATGAGCATATCCGCAGTAGAACCAGAATGATCGACATAGCCCAACGGATTAGTAAGCTGAAGTGGCAATAGGCCAGCCGTATAGTTAGAAGAACTGATATTCGATGGGGAAGAAAGGTTCTCAAGTGGCAGCCTCGAACCGGTAGGCGTAGTGTAGGGCGACCCCCCACTAGATGGAGTGACGACCTGGTAAGACATGCAGGAAGTCGATGGATGCAGGTGGCTCAGGACCGTGCTTTGTGGCATTACTTGGGGGAGGCCTACGTTCAGCAGTGGACTTGTGAAGGGCTGATGATGATAATGATGATGAGGCGTTCTATTTTAGTCTTTAGGAGTGACATTATCATTCACAGCATCTCCATTTTGATTCTAGTATCCACTTACTACCAGATGGACTGTGTACTGTGTCATAATTATTCTCTAAAACTTATTAGTTATGTTAAATAATAGTGTGATCAATTCTGTTCCAGATTTTTCTAACTATTATAAACCAGTGCCTGTCTACTACCCTACCTGATGGTTAGTGGTGATGTAGTTGAAAATGGTTAAGCGCACTAATTTATACCATTAATTAACCTATTAAATTGAATTTGAAGACATTGTAATCGAATTGAAAGACAAAACGTTTGGTTTGAATGTGTGGTATGCTGTCATAGGTCTTTCAAAATAACTTGAAAATTGAAGCAAGCTGTTTGAGTAGCTGCAGAGTTTACTGAAATTACGCATTTATGTGGTTTTTGTTTAGAATAAGGGTGACACACGAGCACACAGTCCACCTGAAGGTAAGTGGCTGCTGTGGCCCATAGACATCTACATTTATCCACGATTAAGAATTAAAACGCAGATGTGTTTTCATCCCTGATGACTAAGGAGTGCCTCGTCTCCAGTAAAAAATAGTCTCTCTGGATCTCTACACTTACCATTACGAAATACAGCAGTGTTAACATGCTGTTTTAAGCTGCTATTCTACGAAGACGTGGTCTTTTCTTGGTGGAGCCGACGCATTCGTGCTACAACCATAATATAGCTGCAGCGTGGCTCTACAAAGTATGCTAAAAGTGGTTAGAAATCATTGTAAAATATTTACTCACTAACACCAACCACGAAATGCTTGACATGCAATGTGTTTATTAACCCCCGGCGACTACATTCGCATGGAATCTTTGTTATTAACTTGTTTATTTTGAATTTTTATTACTTTCCGTCTGACCAATTATATTTTATAAACTCCACTACAGTTTGAACTAAAACAATAATAGTATATAAGTATATATTTTTACGCTTATAAGGATTAACTTCATTATGATGATAATAATTATAATGAATTAGCGTAGATATACATTTAGAAATAATAAAAAGATACTTAAGTTTAAGTTAAGTTGTCGAACATTGCATTACAAACTTAAATGATAATCTAGTGCCAGTGTAAATGAATTCATCAACCTGTTTCGACCCAGGGGTATAGTAAGAGACAACTATGCTAAATGTCAGAAAATCTAATGACTTTTGATATTTTATTGGCGGTATAACCTTATTGGTTACGTCAGAGTCAGATATAATATACCCAGACAGGTCATGGGCAGAAATGTCAAGGGTGTTTGACGCCCTATATTGCGATAGCCTGCCAACCGTAACAATTATGGCAAATCACCCCTACAGTGGGGTAGGGCCATGTCCTGTACTAAAATTTTACGACATGATGATGAAGAAAAAGAATAGATAAAGTCTTTGAAATTTTTGGGTCACAAAGTGATGCGACTTAATCTCTGACCTCACCAAATGTTAGATGTGCCTTTGAGAATTGCGTTGTTTATTGTTATTGCAAAATTGTTCGCATAGACAATTCAATTCGCATTCGTGTGATAAAACACTCTCACCAACATCATAACCGGTGACAACATAATATCTGTGTCTACCGCGTTCTTTTAAGAAACACTAAAAAAACGTCAAACTAAATTAAACATAGCGATGGTGATAATATCATTCTCGATACTTTTACTAAGAAAAGTCTATCCAATATAAATACGAAATGTGTACGTATTTCTGAATACTTATGCTATTACGAGTAGATAATTAAAATGCCGCCACTTTAAAAACTATATTTATTTAGTAAAGAAATGATATGTATGATATGACAATAAGAAAAACGATGTTTGCTTATTTTGCTGAATACTTATTTTGTGGTTACGAATCTAAGATGAGATTAATTTATAATTTTTGTTTTTAAAAAACCTCGTTCACAACCTTATTGACTCAATTATTGATATACTAGTTATACTGGTTTACCGTGCAGTGGCGGTGTAAGAATATCCACTACCCAATATCGTTCCCGTGAATGTTGTAGGAGGATAGAGATAATAGATGCGCAGCAGCATATTTCCAATAATAATAAAAAATAAAAATTTAACTGCGGTTGTCAACCATAGCAACTATGGCAAAAAGCCCACCATTTGAGACTGTATATAGTTGAAGTTTAGTAGTGGACTTTTAATAGGTTGCAAAGGAAAAGGAAGAAAGGTTGTACTGGTAAATGGTCGATAATTGCTAAAAAGAAAGACCGGCGATGACTTTTTGTCTTTTGTAA